TGTGGTCCCTGAGATCAGCGAGATAGTTGATTTCTCCGCCACTGTAGACCACCCTGTTGAGCTCCGCCCGAACCGAGTAATTGAGGGGGTTTAGTTCAGGACCCCCGCTTAAATACTCCATCTTTTCCAGGTACTCAACGTTCTTCCATTCCAAGTAGGCGAAAGTTTTTCCAACGCCCTTCGATTCATGTGGTGGCACCCAATGCTGTAGCAGTACAAAGTTTCCAAGAAGGTACGGGCGACCACATGTGGGGAGGATATTCTTCTCGAGTTACTTGATGTAACCGCCAGCGCTCACCTTCAGTCCGGGGTCTACAAAGAAAATATCGGTCTTCCCATTCCAGGTACGGCCGGTCCACACCATCAACCCGCGCCTTGGTGAATGGGGTGAAGATGATGTCCTGGACCGTAGCGACGTTGCCGGAGCTGCTCGATGTTTGAGGTCTTGCAGATCAAGAGTACTGGTCTCCAGGTAGCTATCCATGGGTGATTCCATTCAAGAAGTTCCGCAGCTGTTTGGAGGCCACGTGAATTCCAAAGGCGTTCTCCACTCAGGCCGCGACTGGAGATGACTTCATATTTTGGTGTACATGAAGGTGAATGGCGGCAGCCGGCTCCTGCTTATAGAGGAAGATCTTGGGTATCTTCCGCCCTGGTACTCATATCCACTTCCTCTGTCTGGGCTGCGAAAACTTCGCTCATATGTGACTCGGCCGGAATGACTTTTTTTGCCCCCCCTCTGTATAGAAGGACAGCTAGAAGAGGGGATTGATGATCGGGAAACGGTCATATATGAAGTGTTACTTGTTGAAGTGCCGTTCCACTCCGATGTTTCCATTACTCATTCAGAGAAGCTTTCCTTAGCTAAACGTTGCGAAATGTTTACGTACAGCAGGTCAATCATGCTTCCCTGAGCCGTTGTATGTTAATGTTAATAGCAGTTCCATTTGGGAGACGGGCAAGAGAATCGTAATGAGTCGCTCCGCCGGCGATGGGCGCGGCGTTTTCTTAACTCGTGTTAACCTGTCGACTGGAGCACCGGACTTCATGTAGACCCCGTCATCGGACATTCATGACTATTTTCGGTTCTAAATTGCCTGTTGTCGCCATCTACTGCCTGAAACCATCGTCATTTGCGGGGGCGACGTCGCACGCGGCGAATTATGATTCTATTGTCACATGCTCGTTCCAATCAGTGAAACTATATGTCCCATGCTTTCATTTCTTCTACTTCGAATCCATTTCACAGTTGAATCTTTCTGCATATACCGAACTTTTGCAGATACGGTTAGTTCTTATGCTTACCTCGCAGCCCAAGCCAAACAGTATTTAAACAATGAAATGTGAAATGAAATCTGAATGTGGGTTAAGTGCGTTGAGCATGCCCGAAGGTAGAGCTTGATCATCAACGTGTTTCCCTCGTTTTATCCTATTCCGTCATTTTTCAGTGAAGTGCAGTGACGAAAAAAAAGAGCTATTGAGAAGCCTCATTTTGGGGCCTCTAATTTGAAGAATCGGACGAGCACCACGGGAGATGAAGAGACTCACTGAGCGTGAGCGTTAGAGCGGAATGATCAAGAGAAAGTCGAGCGAGACAACAAACAGCAATGTGTTCGTTGAATGCGGCGCCTCTAAATGGGTCTCCACATTTCCAGGTGAATCTCTAGGTGAGGCGCTAATGTTGGGCGAACGACGGTCATTAACAATCCCGTGACCACAGTGGTACAGTTCAGCAATGCGAATGGGTTACCTCGCATAACGGAAAGATTTTACTTGTCATATACCATAGAATGTAATCTTAAGAATTATATAAGCGATCTGATGTCGTACAGACCAATGAAAGCTAGATCGAGAAGGAATTCTCTATCTTCTCTCGTCAGGAACTTCAATTCAAACCTCGGCTGAATTCAATGACGTCATGGCCCCTCCTTCACCGGCACGCGTGCGTTTGAACGTAGTTAGAAACGGATTGTTAGACATTAGACTCTAGAAAGGTCATTACTCAAAGAGACCCTCTAAACTGAGTACGTACGGTTGATTCCTGAGTAAAATATATTCTAATCTGATGCTTTTTGTGTGAGCCTCAAAGCTGTTTCCGATTGTATTTGCCTAGGGCGGCTAGGGGCTTCCTTTGCTCATGAAAGCGCAACACAGTACCGACGTGTATCTGTGAACGAAGGTTGATTGTGAAAGCCGTTCAGGTGGAAAAATCGGTCACTATCAACCCACATCCCTTTTTCCATGTTTATGAAGAGTAAAGAAGATTGTGTCTACGGGAACTGGTGAAAGTTCCAGCGCACGAATGCCTTCCTATGCGGCTCAAAATCAAGTTTTTGCAGAAAAATTTTAGTTCCAAGCTACAGACATGGCATCGTCAACGGGCCCTTTTTTTCTGAAGCGAGTACTGAATCAACGCTTGCTTCTAGGAACCACGATAGACGAACTCGGGGGATTGGCTTCTGGTCATAGTATACTCATAGCTGTCAATGGCATAGGCGCTTTTACCTAGTGAGCAAGAGTAATATTTTCGCCATGCAGAATAGCGCCTTACGCGGCTTTGCTTTGGCTCAGTGCCAGACCGTTCTACACACAGTGTTGCCCAGCAAGTAACGGACAAGATTGGTGAAGAATGACAGATACTTAACAATGCCAGATATAGTCTTGTCGCTTAGTCGACGCAAAAAAAATAAAATCGGTTGACGGTGCGCTGAAACGCCTTATCATTCACGACAAACGAGACTGTAATTTGTCACAAGTTTTTTAACTAGAAAAAAAAACGCTGCCCCCACGTAATAGACAGGGGGACGTCAAACAATAAAAGTCTCCGGCGAGTCACATACGAGCGAAGTTATCGCAAGCCAGGACAAGAGGAAGTTGGATATGGAGTACCAGAGTGGAAGGATACCAAGCATCCTTCGCTCTATAAGCAGGAGCCAGCTGCCGCCTTTCACCTTCATGTACACCAAAATATGAAGTCATCTCCAGTCGCGGCCTGAGTGGAGAACGCCTTCGGAATTCACGTGCCTCCAAACAGCTGCGGAAACTTCTTGAATGGAATCACCCATGGATAGCTACCTGGAGACCAGTACTCTTGATCTGCAAGACCCCAAACATCGAGCAGCTCCGGCAACGTCGCTACGGTCCAGGACATCATCTTCACCCCATTCACCAAGGCGCGGGTTGATGGTGTGGACCGGCCGTACCTGGAATGGGAAGACCGATATTTTCTTTGTAGACCCCGACTGAAGGTGAGCGCTGGCGGTTACATCAAGTAACTCGAGAAGGATATCCTCCCTACATGTGGTCGCCCGTACCTTCTTGGAGACCTTGTGCTGCTACAGGTTTGGGTGCCACCACATGGAATCGAAGGGTTTTGGAAAAACTCCCGCCTACTTCGAATGGAAGGGCGTTTCGTACCTGATGAAGATGTAATATTGAAGTATGTCCCTGCCATCAATTACCTAGTTCGGGCGGAGCTCAACAGGGTGGTCTACAGTGGCGGAGAAATCAACGATCTCGCTCAACTCCGGTACCCACTCACTTTCGCGCGGCCGAATCTCTCGATGGCGCTCCTCCAGAAGGCTGTGGCGGAGTATCATTATAGTATTTAATGTGCTCTTTAATATGGTAGTAAAAATGTCCAATAATTAATAAAGTGTAACTTATAGCGCCTGCAGTCAATGGAAGGAACATGACTTTTTTTTTGCTGCCCCCTGTATGTACCTGCATGGCATGCTTGGCGCGAAGAAAGACATTCAACGATATTGTTGACCTGAGAAACCTGCCCAACAGTGAGCAACATAACGGATTCTCCCAAGGAATCAACTGACCATCGCTCAGATTTGAACGCGGAACTTAAACTTAAACCCATTAAGCATTAGCGCTCCGTAATGAGCTGCATATCCTTAGCGATAGACGGGCATTTCGTTTGACCCGAATGGGAGTGTCCGAGAACTAGGTCATAGTCGCTCCATTTAAGCAACGTGGTTTAATCAGCAGTGACCTCTATTCTAACCACGAAATGAAATCCATACTTATTATATTCGCAATTCTTGCTTTGGCCGCTTCCCAGTACTACGGTGGATATCCAGGATATGGTTACGGTGGATACCCGGGTTATGGATACGGTGGCGGTTGGGGACGTGGATATGGTGGTGGATGGGGTAACAGGTACTACAGATACGGTGGATATCCCGGATATGGATGGAACAGGTGAGTAACTTAAGCTATGTCTCAGTGATTTTTTTAATCCTATGTGGAAATAATGTGTTAGAAAAGTGAAAATAAGAATTTTGAAGAATTATGGAGCGCGTTCTCTTGTTTCTATGGAACACGCCTTTCAGAAAGGCTCTTGCGTTATATAGCACCAAATAACTGGCCAATCTGTCTAGTGCGATTCGAGAGGGAGGGGGATGATTTTGAGCACCTTGTAGCAACTCGGGAAATCTGTCTCATCTGATCCAGCCGGACCTGATCCAGCATGCCGCTCGTCACCTTAGAGCGAATCCTGTGGACGACTCCTTCAATCTTGTTGTGAACGTACAGCATATATCTGAGAGCTCTAACGATTTACAATAGCAGACAAGAGTGCCATGCATGCAAAGGGGCAACATACTGTTTTGAATGGGATAGGAAGAGAGACGTGCACACCTACATCAGAGTGGTGAAATATTGGCTCACTGTACGTGGTGAACTTTAGCTCTCCAATTACCACTTACTAGATGGATGGTAAGATGCTCCCCAGGAGATCTAAATCATGACAAGGTTCGACGCAACAGCTAGCGGAGAACTTTGCCTCGGCTAGACGTTCAGAAACTTCTGACGATGGGACTACGAAGGAGAATAGATCAATTTTAAAAGTTCATAAATTCATATTTTGTTTTACTATTTTGTTTTATCATCATTTATTTTGCTTGTCTGCGCAATGAAGCCGATTCCCACTTAAGATGAACGTTTTATCAGGAATTCAACACGCTGATACTTTCCTTCCAGGGGTGGATACTATGGTGGCGGACCATATGGATACGGTGATATGGCGGATAAAAAGGTGGTAAGTAGGAGTTGATTTTTTTCTGTATGGAAATTCTCTCTGAAATGTTCAAACAAAAGTTGCCTCAGTGGGCCTCTCCTAACAGTCTTGCTCTACTGTGGATGGCTGATTGTTTCCAGGTGGAGCTGGTTTCGGCGGTGACGCCTGCTCCCACCAAGTTTTGAAAGCATTGCAGGTGACCCAACAGGTGGAGAGGCAGCGGGCATTCTAAGTACCCACCTCTCCTTAAATGCTAGCGCCTTTAAAAGCCCGGTGTCGGCAGAGCAGGGTCAAGCATATCGCTGAAATTTAATTGGGTTGGCGCGCCACCCCTTAGTAATGGGGTAGCCGTAGCGAAACCTCCCCCCACCTGTTTACGAAAAATTTGAGCTGTGAGGGTGGTATCTGCTAGTCAGTAAGGAATCTAGTTGGAAAAAAAAATTTTTGTTTTTGTGGGTGTTCTGGCGAATGTAGCCATAGAGAGTATCTGCGATGGAACATTCACCAGCGCAATTGAAGCGATAAGACGTTAGAAATTGAAGAGAATAGCTACAGAAGTAGTGTATATGCACAAAGTGGAACCTCGAAAGACCGCACAGTGACGCAGTTCAAACGAAACAGCATAACGCCGAGACATTGAGCACTCCAAGGGTGCGCGTGTCATCGGCCCTCTGCATTCACGCAGTGTATTATTTGAAAAGGTATAACATCATTCAGAAACCATCTTTCGCATGGCGATAAGGGCAATTCCAGTTGCATGGCCAGGCTATATACGAAATAGACTACTGGTTACATGAAGCTTGCATGACGGCTACCGGCCAGAATATAAAGCGGAAATTTTTCGCGAACGCGAGTTTTCCAGTGGGTAAAACTTCATTCGCACGTAATGCAGAATGGAGCCTTGGACGGCAACGGAACCAGAAGGTTTTCTCTTCTTGAAGAGGACTGCATCATTGTTGTAGCTCAATCACAGAAAACACTAGTGGGACATCGGAAAATCACGCGGAGACTTTGGGAAACTCGAGTTTTTGCTTTCAAAGGCCATAACTTCGTTACGACATAACATAGAACACTTCTAGTGAGCACCACATCTTTGCTGTAGCTCGATTACAGCTAAAATTCACCCGTCTCGGTTTTCATTTGAAAGTTAGCTCGAACACTTTGCAACATGGAAAACCCCCATTTCCATCTGTAATGCTCACTAGGCCTCTCGTTCTCTTCCTAGTAATAGTGTAAGTGGGAGCTGCAGCAGAGAGAAACTGTTCAACACCTCCACAACACACAACTGGTGCATGGCTCATTCTCAACACCTGGAATGCGCCATGTACCTGACTTCCTTTCAGAACGCATCACGCATCCTGCATGCTACGTCCCTGCTGTATTAGGTATCGGTCTCTACAAATACGTCTCTGCAATCTCCTCAAGATGGAGGCCGAATGCGACCCACTGGCCACGGATCCCGCAAAGTATGCTTGACCCTGCCGCAAAGTACAAGACTCTAACTTTCGTAACGCTTCCTACCATTCAATTAGAATGTTTACGAAGATTGGCCTCTCATTCCTTTTGGCTCATATTTGATCGAAATGTGTGGATCCACTAGAGATTTCTCGGTTTCCATGTTGAGGTTTCCATGGAGTTTTGAAGGAAGCCCGCCGACCTTCTGCGTTTATTATGTTCGAGGCCATTTGGAGACTATCGGCACACTCCACGATCACTCCTAAGGACAATCGCCCATAGTAGGAACGGTAATCCGACCCCGCTGAACAACTTCTTCAGTTCCTCATCAACAACTTGCAAGGCGGGACATCAAGACGAAAAACTGCTCGGCTCCTCCACAGCGAAAGCGATTCTGCCCTCCCCCGTGTCTGTCACTTCCTTTTCAAGTGTATGCTAACCAGCTCACACACTCCTACTCCAAAACCCTGCTGCGTAGGAGGAATTCGATGACTCTGAATTGTGCCTAATAAGTATTTGTGAGATTTACCACGGAGTTTGGGCATCATGCCAGCAATGTTATTTCCTTGACAAACTTGAGGAGAGGTAAAAAGTTAAAAGTGAAATAACATGAAAGAGTTCATGAGAAAATTACAAAAAAACACCTGTTGCAGGAGGATTTGGAGCCGGTCTGATCACTGGAATGCTTTTAGGATGATCTCACCGATCGTTCAGCTTGCCTAAGATATGTTTTAAATGTAATATAAATGTGGAATCCTAATTCAGGCTTTTGAATGAATGTAAGATTTAATATGCATCTTCGTGAAGATCACCACTGTTGGTAAATGAATATGAATATACTGGCCAATGTCACAGCTTCGCAGCTGGTGCAGGATGAAATCGGCGAAAATTAGCACCTTCGACAACTGCCTCTATTTACGTCTACTCGAAGTGCTAAAATCGCTTAAGCTGCTCCATACATTTGGAAAAGGTTGAGTTACATAGAAGTCTCAGCAAGGGAATCTCAATAGGACGCTTTGGAACTGATTTCAAGTATTTCAAAGTTGGCAACCTTCACTTCAACAGCGATATTGGCAGCGCTCACGTCCGTGTTCCATCCTGAAACTTTATGTAATACTTTAGTGACCGTTTCGCTGATATTTTTTGCATGTTCTGATAGCAAATTTCGTCTCTAGAAATTGGCAATAAAAATCTGTTCTCCAGAGCTACCTACAGCTTTTACTCCTTTGGACTTCAAAGTGCTTTAGAACTAGGGGCGTGTTGATTATATTCTTTTATTGTCCAAAGTTCGGAAATTCCCCAGCCATCCCAAGTTTAAACAAGTTCCCAATGGAACATCGTATCATACAGGCGAAAAACAAATAAAAAGCCATTTGTATATATCAGATATATATCACAATCCCCCAAAGAAGGAAGTGGAATTTCACACACCATGTGAACCAAGAGTGTTGGTCTAGCCTTGATGAGAGAATGATGGCGTTGGCCGACTTTCTTATTGAGCAGAGTTTCATTCACACACCATATGTATGATTTTTGCAAGGCGATTGCATTTCACAAATGAAGCATGTGTTAGTTCTTTTCGAGTTGAAATGCTCCCGTCGTTCAGATTTCTAGTTATATAGCAGTTTTATTTCTTCAACATTTCGCGCAATGCCATTATCAAGCGCTTCACGAACTGCGATATACAGAGGGCCTCGGACGCCCAATCCACAACTAAAATGATTGGGCTCAAAACTCTCATTTCATCGGTCAGGCACTTCAAAGGCACTTCCCACGACTACACATCGTAGGTAATCACCTGTACACCTGTGCTCCCGTTGATCATCGAGCTCCTCGACGGGCGCCAGTAACGTCCCCGAATGATCGTTCCTTGCCAGCAAACGTAGGCAAATTGATATTTAAACAAATACGAACTCTCTCTAGTCCCCTCGCGCAGGGACATGCGCTAAATCTTCATCCACCCGCTTCGTTCAGCCTAGCGTTTTGACGAAGAGTCGTGGAGACACCACGCCATCGTAACCCAGGCGTTCTTCGCTTGACATCCGTGGACCCCGCAGTCCGGTGACTTGCTCTGGTCCAGCGGTCGTCCTCGAAACGCATGACGTGTCCGGCCCACCTGATCTTCGAAACCTTGGCAGAATGCGGCGGCGTCTCTGATCTTCGATCGTTGGCGTGTAGCGAAGCCGCCCAAACCTCCGCACCATCCGCCCCCACCCGCCTTACTTCCGCCCACTGGCGCGTTGAAACACCTAAATCGACCAACACAGTATGCTGCATGGCCCCTGCTTTTCGTACACGTCCAAGTCTCTGAGGCGCACCACGTCAAGGCTAGCGCAAGGACCGCGGATATAGAAGAGCTGGATAGAAAGAAGCACGATACATGCCCCACAAAGCGATGACGACCAAAAATATGTATACTCGACGCGGGGGCTGTCTTTAAATCTCCGTTGGCCCTGTGATTCTTGCAGCCTCGCCCGAGCGTTCCCGCCGCCATGTCGGTGGTTCCCTCAGGTTCAGGGGAATGAGGCCCATAATTAATACTGCTTCCGGCGTGAAAGAAGTTTGACCACCGCGTACATCGCGCGGCTCTTGACGTGCACCCTTCGCATTAGTGAGCGATTTGAAAATCCCAAATGCAATTCACCACCCACGCTTGCGAAGATTGCGAGGCCCCTCGCGTGATCAGGACTTCCTGTCGCGGGGAGCACTCAGAACCAGAACAGTCCAGCCAATATGTATTAATCATCAGTGTATGAAGAAGAATTCCGTCAACGGCATCGAAACGCCTATAGTCAAGCAACTCTGAATAAAATGAAATTACATCCGCATCCCCCTCCAACCTCCACGTACGATAGTGGAATCAGATCTCCGACAGCCAGACTAGAGGACGACGTAAAAGTCGTTAAAGAATCCTATATTTATGCCGGCATTGGGACGATTGTCGCCTGTGTTTTTATGAACCGATGCCGCTAAGTCACGACGGTAATTCTTTTTCCCAACTTCCTCGGAAAGGTCTTCCCCTTCAGAGGTACGAGTGATGCACCGCTGAAGCAGGGCAATCATATTTTTCTGTACAGAATTCTGGTGTGGACGCATACAGCATTAAATTGCTGAAGAATAACAAGAATTTATCGACAGCGTCTTCCACTTCTATCCTGTGCGCCCCATAAAAGGCCCCGAATTTGACAGAGGTTTCAGATTAAGCCCAGTGGAGTAGAAGAAGAAAGAAGGTCATTGAAAGGTACGCTTGTGTAAGGAGAAGCTGGATGTAAGCTATTGGTAGCTCCCCCCATTTAGGTTGTCTGCGGAAAGTTCCTCCGCAAGCGTTTTTGGAGTGTTTCACTTTGAGCGACTCATTTTCTTGATACTCATCGGATTTAAAGTCGAACTAAGACACGGTTCGATCGACATCAGCAGCACTTGTTGCCACTGCACCGCCTTACTAGGCGAGGTCATACCACTCCCCATCAAAGCAAAACACTGGCCGCGTCCGCTCAAGAATCACAAAGGAACCTGATTTGAGAGAGGTGCCTTTTCCCCAGCAAAGATGTCTCCGGAAATGTTTGAAAAGGTGATAGTCC